CCATCAAAATTATTCTAATTAATAAGCTTTTATCCTTGGCTTTACTTGGAAGATAAGAACATTTAAAAACACCAAAGCATGCTATACTGGTTTATTGCTGCCCTCTTGTGGCACTTTTGAAAATGGCCCCATTTCATTAAGGCTAGGAAACATTACATTTTTCCCCAAGGCAAGTTGCATCTGTGTTTGTCCCAGAAAAGAAATATCCTGGGATTGGCATATATACATATCGCTCTTCTAATCAGGGTTTTGTGAGCAACTGAATGCACTGCAGCTTTTCTGCCACTGACTCAATTATGCACTCCTGGGACAACACTTCGGATGCAATTTGGGATGTCCTGGGATAAACTGTTAGTACTTCTTATCCCATGACCCTTTTTAGGATTTCTCTCAGGACAAATACAACATCAGTTTATAGCCTAAGAGAAATAAAACATAAACGCAAACTGGTTCAAGCACGAGCTTAAATGTAATGTATTTTTGCTGGCCGAGGATAGGATTTTCATGAGCCTAAGGATAAGCAAGGGCATTTTCCTAGGAGAATGCATGCCATGCCCTCTGTAACTGAAGAAGTGTATTTGTGATTCAAGCTTTGGTTTCTAAGAAGTATATCAGTCTTTCTGGAAGCCACCACCCTATTGAAAGATAACAAATCCTAGAATGAACCCAGTGTAAAACCTCCCACGCGATTTAAAGTCTGACTTCACATTAAAAAAACCCTTTAAAACTGATCTTGCACTAAATTGCTATTATTTCCTTTATGAATCTATTTTAAAACTTGCAAGCAATAGGTCTGCCTATCAAAGGAAAGCTCACACTTATTTCTAGTCAAAGTTTTATTGTCAAGTATAACTTCCTATTTTTATGTAGCAAGAATTCTTTTTCACTGAGGATTTTAAAATCTCTGCTTTTTCAAGCAAGCCGAATTCCAACAGGTCCTAGCTAAGGGTGCTAGCTATGGCAGGTCAAGTTAGAAGGTTTATACCAGAACAAGAAAAACTGTGCTGTTTACAGATTTTCTTACAATTTGCTCTTAATTATTCCCATATTATTTTAAGAAAAAACCCAAGACGAGAACAGTTACCTGCTTTCTGCATTCCATCGTATCCATTCCCGATGGGTTGGTCCTGTTCTTGAAATGCAACAAACTCACCCATCTGGAGGAACGAAAGGGTCTGGTGTCCTCTGGGGCTTTTCCTCACCAGTTGAAAATGACTCTATAAACACATCTTAATTGACAGAACTAATTAAATGTTTTATAATTAATGCAGTAACTGATGGTTAAGGCAAGCTGCTGTTAGAAAAGAAGTACAGTCAAGTGGCTAAGTAAGGAAGTAAATGTTGTCAGTCTTGACAAGGTTCAGTCTTGGTTCGTGTGCCATCTTTGTTCCTGACTCAAAACTGGATGAAATCTGTCTTTGTATAAAAATACCTACCTCAGAGCATGCCATTCCCATTTAATGCCTAACTGTGTGTCTCAAGTATACCATAGTGAGAGTAAGTTGGGAGGGTTTACTACTCAGTGGAGGACTATGAAGATGTGGGGGGGAGAGCCTTAAATATGCAGTGTCTTAGTGACTATGTTCAAGAGTTGTTAATATGAAAAGTATGTTACAGTGTACCAACAAAAAGCACACATTCAGTACAAAGAATATTGAAGATTCACTGGCACATGGAAGCCAAGTTAAAAGCAAAAATAGTTTCAAAGTTAACTGCAGCTAAAAATCTGCACTCTTGGTTTTTTAAACAAAGCATGATTTACAGAGATGCTGACAAAATTATTAAAATACTCTTATCTTAGAGAGCTTATCCTATATAAAAGATCAGTTAAGGAATACTGGATATTTATGCCAAGAAAATGCAAACAAACTATTTTTCAAAAAATGTTTAATATTGTAGAAAAATTACTGTAACAGTTTTTCACCATTTAAGAAACAAACAGGGGCAATTAAAAAATGAGGCTCACCATCAAACCATTTGGGATGTCCCAGCTGTAAACAGTCAAGACTCAGTGGTCATGTTTCTAACTTCTTTCTTTCCACATTTCAAGAGGATGTGTTTTAATTCCCAAAGGGCCTCAAGGTATCATTTCACAGCTCCATTAGTACAAATTTGCTTGCATTCAATACCACCCCACAATGGAGCACAAACAATAGCAATCACTCTCATCGGTCAACCTTTTTGTGGTGGCAGCACTCTAGGTGGAGCTCTATGGTTTGAATCTGCACTCAGTGATGTTATGGGATTGAAGGGTTTCAGGCATAGTTACAATGGGGCAAGAAACACACTCCCAAATCTGGCATTTCCTAACCTAACTATTTACTTAGCTGAAGAAGGGATAGGATTATCCACGGGCCTGAAGGTAAACATGCATTCCTCAGCTCTGCAATGTTCTCCTAAAACCTCCACAAAACAGAAGCTTAAATAAAGTTCTCTCCTGCAACTCTGAGAAGGGCAACTTTTGGCAAGTTATAGCCATATGAACTTAAGAAAATAACTCCCCCAATTTTTTTGAACTGGGACCAAAAAATTACAAAAATCCAGTTACATTAGATACTTCCGTTTCCTCTACCTTCATGTAATAGTACAAAATTGGTGGGATCTTTGAATCATCCCTTAATTTAAAAAAAAAAAAAAAGAAAAAGACAAAGAGAAAAAGCATGCAAATACAGGAAAGCTGAACTGTCTGAAGGGAAACACCTATAATCCTCACAATGCCCTCAAAAGCCATGTATTATGAACATTTTATGCCCAAGCCACTAAAGCTGGAAATGGGGGGATAAAATAACTCAACATATTTGAGGAACAAGCTCCTCAAAGTTCTGTCAAGTCTTGAATTACCCAAATCGGATAAATCCCTGATCTATATTTGAAGTTTGTATTGGATCCTTGGGTTCCTGACTTTCAATCCTCCTCAGGAACAACCTACCAGGACTTTGTTCATATCTCTTAATAAAAACCTGGTCTTACTTCAGTTTTCATTTCAGATTAGGAACTGTGATTGTGGTTAACACCCCCCCCCCAACATAGGGACTATTTAAAGATTATTCTACGAAGATAATGAAGAAAAGGAAATTACAGAAGGCCAAAAGATGTTCAAATCTCCATGAAGAGAGATCTACCAGGCAAACTTTCAAAATGTGATCACAAAGAAGACATTAAGCCTCTACAGTTGCATACTTGTCTAATATTCCTTTCTTGGCAAGTAGGATCTCAATTATATGCATTGTGAACCACAGCATTCTCCGTTAACTAAGTGGTCCACAACTTTGATGGCTTACGCCTGTCCATAAGATTCCCCCAGAAGCCAAGATCCCTTTCTGATTCTGATCCATTACTACAGTTCATTGCAATCACTCTAGGGTTTAGAAAAATTGCTCCACGAAACTAAATGCACTGCAAAGATGACATGTTCCAGCTCTATTAAAACAACACAAGCCAAACACTATCATTAGATAGAGCTGTGCAATTTTGTCAGCAATTTATTCAAAGGTATGATTTTGGGGAAGCCCACACTATCTGGCAAATCTGAGTTGAGCCTGATGCACAGTTTCAGCTGAAATAAAAATGACAAGATATTTGTAAATGTGAGAGCTTGTTTCCAACTCTACAAAACCATTTTTGGTTTGGGGCACTTGTGAAAGCTGAGGAAAACAAGTGCTAGATAAACACAGGAGTTTGTCACCTGCAATATAGGTTCAATTCTCTCCTGTACCTGTGGGAGATCAGCTCAAATCTTCCTCCAACCAGGAAAGCTATCATGCTATAAGGCAGTGGGAGCCAACCTTTTTAGCGGACATGCCACAGATTAGCCTCACACTCTCCTTGAGTGCCACTGAGATTCCCTTCTTCTGCCTAATCTGCTCTTTTTGCTTCCTGCCCTGCATTCTCTGCCTGATCTCCTGTGCTGCTTCCTGCCCTACCTGCTGCTGCGCGCCTGTCCCCTCCATAATCTGACAAATATCACAGGTTGGCCACCCCTATAAATGGGTATTCCAGGATGGGTGGTTTTCAGGTCTCATCTTCCAATTCAGTTTGAACATGAAGTACACCTCTCCCTTGCCTTCCTTTTGATACAGTTCCACTTTGTGTGGACTACTCAAATAGCTCTTATTGAGCCAAGAAGAAACCTTCCATAATTTGTTGTGTAGGGCATTAGAAGCCATGGTTTCCAACCCTTCAAACAGGAAAAAAATTGAACCTGCCTCTCCTATTAGTGAAGTGAAGGCTCTAAATACTATCCTACTGAGCAGAAAAGGATCCACAACCCTTTCCAGCAGCAGCGTGTTTCAAGTCCTGTTTCTTTGGCTATCGTAGTGAATTTCTGAAAACAAATGGAGCAAAAACATTTAACTCCACCACAAGCAAATTTTGCCCTTGCCCTCACCAAAAGATTTTATTTCAAATTACAGATTTATTTCTCTGTTTCACCAGACTAAGAAAAATAAGCCTACAAGTCTACTCACTGAGACTAGAAGCTATAACGCATACTAACATAAATAGGAAGACTTGGAGCCCAATACAAAATTCTTGCTGATTATGTGGCTGGATAAGTGAGAAAGTCCCCCAGATTCAGAGTCTACTGTAGTTACTGAAATGGCTGTTAGCTGGTATTTTAGTAACAAAATTCAATTTTTTCTGGAGAAGGGGTAAATATTCTTGCTAGAGAATTCTTTGCATATTCTTTGCCCCTAAATCTATTGGGGATTTTTCAGAACTCTGCTATCTCCTCAATTGTCCTCATATCACTTTCTTCTTGGAGAAACAAGCATGATCTATGCAGTGAAGTTTCCTGTAATGGAGACACAACCCCTTAAAGAATGCCAATGGAAGAGAGTCCTCTGGCAACAGAGTAACAAAAGGATACAATTTAAGTCCAAATTTATTTCTCTGCAGATGTAGAAAGGTCAACTTGAAGAGCAGGAAAGAAACTCTTCTTATCCACTATGTCTTAAAACAGTGGTTCAAAATTAGCCGCAAAAAACTAGATCCTGGTATAGCTTCAGGTACAGTATTACTGAATTTCTCCAAAGAATCTCTCTTTCTGTGGAATGTACCTCTACATCTCAGTCCACTAAAACTACCACCACCTTTCATTACCTCTCCTAAAAACTAATTCTCACTGGAAGCTCATAAGTGTGCTTATCAAATATGAGAAAGATGTAAATCTCCTAGATACTAAAATCAATCGCCAATGCAATGTACGGTTTACATCGAGTCATGAAACTTAAGTATTTTGGTGTCCACTTCGCACAGTGCTAAGCTCATTTCCTGCATCTTTCCAATGCAAGCCAATGTAGCCTTTGCAGAGAAGAAATACCCATGGAGGACAAAGTCTGAGCAAGTCTGGTGGTTAGAGGCTCAAGTTGGAAAACGCAGGTTTCTTTGTGGAACAGGAAATAGATCAGAGAATAATATCTGACAACTCAGTCCGTGTGTCAATTTTTCTGGGTGAAGAGTAAAGAAAATAAGATGTTTCCATGCCTTTATCAAAGACTGATTGCACTTCAGCTGATGGTGTTAAATGTGCATTATCCATGTGCCTCTGGTCTTCAGCCTCTTCTGAAAACCCCACCAACTTTCTTGTCAAAATGATCATGAAGCGATGTTTTGTGCCCATCAAAGGAATGAATGGTCAATTTACCACCAGAAGTGTTACTACAGAATTGGTTTTCAAGAACAATCCATATATGGTTCTTTATTAATTTGGAGTTTCACATCTTGGAGACATTATAGCTTGTTTCCTATATAGTAAGATGCTTTAATGATAATTTGTATAAAAAAATTACCTGGTGCACACCTTGCATGGAAGGCCTTAAAGTGATTTATCAAATCAAATTCACTTGATGTAAGCATGTAAAACTATACATACAGGGTTTTGCATTGATTTAAGAAATCTTAACACATGTTCCTTTAATTTGTACTTGTACAAGTTTGTGTATGGACATGCTTTACAACAGTATTCCCAACCTTTTGAGCAGAAAGAAATTTAATTTCTACTGTGATATCCTTCAGAGAAAGAGGGCAGTCAGAAATCCTGAAAGACACGTGTGTAAAAACTGCTGCAAAGATTGCTTGCCTCGAGTTAAAGTGGGGGAGAGGGGGAAATAAAGACTCTCTGAACTTAAGGGGGAAAAAAAGCCTCAGCCTGAGGAATGGGTTCCTAAGACTATGGTCTTAAAATTTTCCTCTTGCAGGAGAAGCTGATCTCTCTTCCTTTTTTGTTTCTCCTGTCCAGAACCCTGCAGTAAATAGGACTTACAGGAAAATTATCTACCCATTGCTCTTCATATTACAAGCAATTTGAATACTTGAGATCAGTCATTTCCTATAGCATAGGTAAAAGTGTGCAGCTTCATATAATTTAGCCTCTAGCTTGCTGATGTGACTGGCACAAGTGTCAAACTACTGATGTTAATACAATCAGCTACAAAGGAAAGGATAAATGAAAAAAGACATCTAACGGACTCATGCTGTCTCATGTAGCTGTCAAGATAGAGGGGAGAGCAACATTTGAATGGAGTGCACTGAGGTTACATTGAAGCCAATGACATGTAACTGTCTCCTAATAGAAAAAACTTAAAATCTTGAAAGAAATAAAAAGGTTTAAATGGTTAAATACAAGGACTCTATCCAATAATTACAGATAAAGTGTAGAACTGCCTATAGTTAAAATTACCTGGTACTTTATTTTAAAAGCTCGTTTTTACTTGCTTTTAAATGATGCTAAACTGTTTGGGGTAAAGTTTTCTATGCTGACCATCTATCTCAACTGCATTTTTGGGGGATGTTTTTTGAGCTAAACACAATTCAACCATTCTGAGAATGACCAGGACAAAAAAAATCTCTCACTAGTATTAATTCTTTGTAACTGCTCAACTGAACTATCTTCATGTTTTGGCATAAGCACTACCATGTCTCAACAGAGTTTTCCTGGAAGTTTGGCAAATTAATTATGCCAAGATAATTTCCACTGAGAAAATATTCTAACTTGAGAGCAGCAGATACAAGCGGAGTGGTCCCTACAACTGGTCCTCCTCCCAGTTGCTATAGGTCTGGGAATAGAAATAAACAAAGGAATACCATCTCTCTTGTGATCTGTGTCAGCCACACTAATAATCCAAGCAATATATTAGAAAAGGCAGGAGCCTGACTGGAATGAAGTGGATTAAGTTAATCCTAACTACTAGAGCATACTTCCCTTCTGAACCAGGAAGCCAAAACTGGATTTCAGAGTCTCTATGTTTTACTCTCAGAAAATAGCTACAAAACCCACAAGCTTAACTAACCTCTGTGAATGAGATAAGACTCCTCTTTGGTACCCTACTGCTTGATCCAGCAGAAGTGCTGACTGTGGACCAGCTTTTTAAACCCTGCTAACCACTGAAATGGAGAATCAACAAGATAAAGCATGATAGAATTTGACTGATTTTTTTATTTAAAAAGTTGGGAAAATGCATCCAAAACTTAAGCCTGAAGAATCAAGCACTCAAGCTAGGAAATGTCAAAACATGTTTGCTAACCACAACTTAAATTCAGTGTTGGGCAGATACGTATTATGAGACGGTCTTTTAATTACATGATCATGTAATATTTTTACCACGAAACTTCTGCCTCATTCAGCATATAGGCTAGTTGATGCCGTGGAAATGAATCAGGGTCATTTGTCACATTCCGTCCTCATTTGTTGCAGACACTGAAAGGTACATAGTAAATGAAGCAGAAGAGAAGGAAGGAAGAAAAAGGATGGTTTCACAACAAAGGTGATTAAACGCTGCCCTGGGGAATTAGATTTTACCCCTGATTTTGAGAGTTCCTCTGTGAGTCTCCTGAACCAAGTCATTTGAACTTCAAGTTGCGAGCCCCATAAAAACATCCATAAGGAAATTAAATCCACAATCAGTAAGTACAGAAATCTGAAAAGGCAAAGCAAGAAAGACAGAGGCTACCTATGGAAGGGTTAAGAGAATATTGAGTTACTAGATATTCACTGAATAACACAGGGATCCCAAGGAAAAAAAGTAGCTATGATTCTATAAATGAAGACTAATGCATATGTACAAAGGAGACAAAATTTAGGCATGAATGGATACCTTTAAAACGTTGTTTGGTGCGGTTTTGGGGATTTTTTTGTTTTTACCTTGAGTGTCTGTCTTTGCAATCTTGTTGTTGTTTTATTGGTACCTATACCAATAATCTTTTGAAAATTACAGTATTTTAAAAATTAAAATGGAGTTCACAAGTATGGATGTTATTTGTGTTTCTAGAAAAACCCTATCATCTATAGCTCTGAGCTATTACCTCCTTCCCCAAACAACTGTTGTATTTAAGATTGTGTGCAACTTCCTCTTGTTTTTTCTCTTAAAAAGCTTTCCTACTTGACCATGTTCACCAAGTCCCATTATCTTTTGTTCTGAGCACTACATGGCCAATTTGGGAAGCTAGTATTCAAATAGCAGAAAAGTAAACTCTTCACAGTTCTCTTAAACTATGAATGACAGCAAGTACTTCCTAAAGCAACATCTTCACTCTGAGTGCTCCTCAAGTTTCAAGTCTGCACGTCCAAAAATACTTCAAGCTACCATTTGCACTCTTTAGGACTGTTCTGTTAGAATTGGAACACAGTAAAACTTAATAACTAATTTGGGGGTAGTCAACCCCTGGCACATGTGCCAGACTGTGGCACATAAAGGCATTTTGCTTGGCACAAGCAACTCTGGGCAGATAGTGGGGAAGGAGCCAGGCTGCGCTGCCACAACAAGGCTCCCCTGCCATCTGCCCCTGGCATGCCAACATCTCAAGTCAAGGTTGCAGGTGTTTTTGGCACTCTGTCCAAAAATGTTCCTGACCCCTGAACTAATCTGAATTGCTTCTGTAGTCTTAAGAACTTTGTATCTCTTTGTCATGAACAGAAGGGTCTCATGCCATTAGCTAAATCCTGACATACAGCTGGCAGAAACCTTAAAAATGAGAATCCTTCTTTGATCTTTCAGAGCACTTCAGCCTTTGCCTGCAGCACTTATTTTGTCTTTTTCCTTCGAGTTTTGCCAAACAATCTTACAATGTTACAAATCAGGCTTCCCCTGAAGAGGAATGATCCATTCTAGATTGCAGGGTAGTTGTGACATGGTCTAAATCAGGGGGCAACAACCTATGGCCCCAAGCAAAATGACTGGATTGGGCTCATGTTGGCCTGAGGGACCAGTGGCATGTAGCTCAGATCAGCATGTTCCCCCCACCTCCCACACACCTTCTCCACCCTGCACCATGCTACCAATCCCCTCCAGATCCCTCTACTACTCCTGCACCTGCTATGGGAGGTGCCGCTAACTAGGGCTGCATGAAGCTTTGATCCCGATTCGATCTGGTGGAGATTTGGCCCGATTCGGTGGCCAAATCTCTGAATTCAAATCAAACCAAACCAAGAGACCCTTTAATCTCAATGAATCGAATCAGAACCCTTCGAATTGATTCAGAAAGTTTCAGCAATTTGGCCAGAGACGCAGCTTTAAATGTTTTTTCTACATACCTCAAGGTACCAGGTGGCTTGTGAATGGTCCGATGGTGGGGCGAATCATGCATCCCACAGGACCGCAGAGGGGTCCACAGCGCATTCAGCAGCAGACCTGGAAGTGGACCAGGAGCACTTCTGATCCACTTTCGGGTCTGCTGGGGAGTGTGTAGGGGGATCCCCCCGTGCCACCCCCC